ATGCTGGGAGCCACAGCCACTCAGTAATCTGGGAACAGTTTATTTTTTCAAATAAAGTTGCAAAAGAGCTATTGAGGAATGCATGTAGAGGGGGGCTATTTACATCAGTATTCTATTATGACAATCACATCAGCACTTCAACTGCAAGTAATAGTAAGGATATATTGGGAAGTAAAGAATAACACTCTTGCATGCATCAGTCACTCATCTAGACTTTGTTCCAAAGGTTTTCCTCCCTGTAACTTGCTTTCCTCCGCAGAATCATAAAGCTGAATGGGACCATTTGAGCCGGGGAGTCCCCACTTGCTGCAGAAATCCAATTACAGCATGTCCAATAGATGGTTTTCTGGTGTCCATTGGAATATATCTGGTAAAGGGGAAAGTACCCTAAAAGTAAGGACTATGTTAGTTTCTTATTAAATCAACATTTGTCTTTCTGTAATAAGAAACCATAATTTAGTGTCCTGGCTCTGGAATAGTGGAAAATAGATCTTGACCTTCTCAGAGACATTCTTCCAGATAAAGAATGGAATGGACTAGAAGAGAAGAGTTGGAAGGGACCTTGGAGATCTTCTAGTCCAGGGGTGTCAAACTCACATCGTCAGGGGGGTGTCATGTGACGTATCAGGACCTTTTCCCCCTTCGCTAAAACTGGTGTGAGCGTGGCCAGCGCGTGACGCATCCGGCCCATGGGCTGGGAGTTTGATATCCCTGTTCTAGTCCAACGCCTTGTTCATTTGAAGAGGGCGATCACATATCTCCTTAATCTTCTCAAGGCTGACCATTCCCAATTCCCTTTTTCTCCCTTCAGAGGAATTACTCTTCTTTGATTCTGTTATGCTTGGTCTGAATCCTTCTTAAAATGTAGTCCTACCTATGAACTCAATACCAAAGGTGGAATTATTATATATATGCATATTCTTTCTAGCCAGGTTTTACCTACGTAAACTAAGTTGTTCTGCAGCCCTGGTTCTGTGAAATCTCATTCACAAGCTTCTGGGCTTTTTTTCTGTTGACAAACTGCAACTCTGTGTTGCTCTCTGGGAGACTCAGATAGCTATTTCTGCCTTTTAAGACGTCGTCAGTGAGCCACACCCACTTCTCAGATATCCTCCCTGTAAAGGTACAATGTGTCTTTTTCTTTTTCGTAGGCTTTTATATTATATATATGTATATATACACATATATATGTAACCTTGTTGCTGGTATCCTTAAGATTTATATTGACTATTTCCTAATATGATTTGATTGCTTATTTGTTCCCTATGACTATTATTAAATGTTGTACCTTATGATTCTTGATGAATGTATCTTTTCTTTTATGTACACTGAGAGCGTATGCACCAAGACAAATTTCTTGTGTGTCCAATCACACTTGGCCAATAAAGAATTCTATTCTATTCTATTCTATTCTATTCTATTCTATTCTATTCTATTCTATTCTATTCTATTCTATTCTATTCTATTCTATTCTATTCTACTCTACTTCTACTCTACTCTACTCTACTCTACTCTACTCTACTCTACTCTACTCTACTGTTTTGGAAACTATATTTATTAATACAGATTGCTGTACATCTTTTGTATTTTTGTCAGCCACATCATATGGCTGATGCATATTCAATTTGCAATCAGCTATTATTGCAAGTTGTTTCACAAGCATTATTGAACAAAGCCAAATTTCCCTCATCCTGTACAAGTGAATTCTGATTTCTTTTGAAGAACTCCCACATACATTCGTCATATAACAAATCTTCTACTCTGTATGGCATCATCAAATTGATGGTTAGCATGGGCATCCATCATCACTGTACCAAAAAAAGCCCAACAGCAAGAACAATCAACTCTGTTCTAAAAATATTGTAGTTCTGCTTTCGTCTTTTGTTCTATGGAAACCTGTTTTTTTGTTGATTATTTTTATAGCAGATTTTTTTGGGGTAGAGGCTGGGCTCTTTCAGGAGAAAAAAACAGTATAAAATAAAAATTGAGCATTAATAGCACAACAGAATAACACAACAGAAGCTAACACTCCTGTTTCTATTTTCTCCCATCTGGCATTTTCTCCCATCGGGCTTAAAATATTATATGTATGTATATTCATTAATCTAACCTGATAACAAAATAGGATTTTATTGATTATGCTTAGCATTAAAAAAATTAGAAAGTTTTAAAGTTATTTCTAATAGTTCTCATCAATAAAAGAGAGGTATTTGTTATGTAATTTTGAATTCTGGCTACTTAAACTTCAAAAGTAAAAACAGACACACTTCCACAAAAGATTGTTATAATTGCTTCCCCCTTCACTCCCCCTCCCAGTTTTCATAAATTTCTCAAATTACTTAAGGGAGGTCTCCTAACAAAAATAAAATGGAAATGGAGGAATCACAGAACTTTTCAGCAGAAAGCAACTCCCTACATTTTTCCAAACAGAGCTGAACAAAGATATTTCCTTTAGGTACTTCCCAATCCAGTAGCATGCTGTAGCAAGTGTTAAGATGAGCCTGAGAAAATTATCAAAGACTCTCCAAGGTTATGTAGAAAACCAGCTTCTGTGCTTTCCTTGCAGTCTGGAGCCTTTCAAGAGCTAATAGTGACAAATTCTTCTTTGTTGTTGCTCTTGTTGAAGTGTCTAAGTTTTTTTTTTAAGCAAAAGCAGAATGAATGTGAAGAGGCTGCCTTTCAACATAAGATAGTGAAGAGATCTAAAGACCATTCTGCCACAATCATACTTTCCAAAATATATACTTATTTACATCACAAGCAATCTTCCAGCTTCCCCCAATCTCTGCTTTCCTGCCCCAATAGACAAATGCAACACGCTCTCACCTCTAGATGGATATTTACCACCACTGATCTTCCAATCGGAAACTGTTCTGAATTTGGAGGACGGCTACTCTGGAAGCAATGAAAGGAAACTTTGCTGTGTACTTCAGAAGCCTGTAACCTTGAGAAACTGGAGTCAGATATTCTGGTCCGGGTAGTAAACACCAAGGACAACACAAACCAGGGTTCCCGTCCCTGCTTGACCTGATATTCAAACACATTCTAATCTTGTTTTGACTCAGCGAAAAGATTCATTCAAAACACACGTAGGAGAAAAACACAGCCAGACTTACATGCAAACGTCCACTTTTTAATCAATATTAAAATGTGCGAACAGGCCAACTTATCAACAGTTCCTTTGGACCTTACTACACAGAATGTTTATGGGCTCCTTATCAGAAACATGCTACGCCTAGCAGTGTAATTCTCTCATTTGCTGGCATCCCAGGGTGGATAAAAATCAATGATTTTTTTAAAAAAATCAAAAAAAATCGGATTTTTTAAAATTTAAATTGGATTTTTTTTATTTAAATCGGATTTTTTTGATTTTTATCGAATTTATTTTAATAAAAAACTTTTGGGGTAAAAATCTATCTTAAGATAGTTTTCTGTTTAAGATACATAAATAATTCAGTTTATTCAGCATGAAATGGAGCTTAGTTATGTAGCATGAGGCTGTCAAAGGAGTAGCAGAGATGACAGTTGCTCTTTAAAAATTATGATTTAAATCGAGTTGATTTAAATCAAGCCTTTTTACTAGTGATTTAAATCATGATTTAAATTGTGATTTAAATCAACTCGATTTAAATCAAATCCACCCTGTGGCATCCTGCATTGGCAGTATGTCAATTTGTCACTGAGAACTGGACAGCATACAAGCTGGGGAAAAAAATTGTCAAGAACAACTGGTATTCAGAGTGCTGTGTACAAGTTTTTGTATGACAGCAGAGAATACCGTCTAAAGCCAAGCATGGGACTGGGGATTTTGCTATATTTTCTTGCTAAAAGTCAAGAACAAATCAAAAGTGCTCCTCCTGGCCTTTCCAACTTGGTTTCTTCCCAAGCTATTGCATTTTAACGTCCATCATCCTCACTCAGTCTGACCATTATTATTACTACCATTAACTAAAAGACCCAACAAGACATCACACCTAGGATTTGACCATAAGCAAGTAGTAAGCTCCAAAGCACACATATACAGACACGCACCTTTCTCACTTCAGGAATGACTGGAAAATGTAAGATGACCGAGAGGCTGCCTTCACATTATCTGCTAATCCCTAAACCTAGGTTACATCAAACAAACACACTACATTATGGACCAGCTTCTAATTCCAATACAGGTCGTCCTTGACTTAGGGCCTCAACTGAGCCCAATATTTGTGCTGCTAAGTGAGACATTTGTTAAGTAACCTTTTGCAACCTTTCTTGCCACAGTTGTTAAGTGAATCACTGCAGTTGTTACAGTTAGTAACCTGGCTGTTAAGTGGATCTGGCTTTCTCATTGACTTTGCTTGTCAGAAGGTTGCAAAAGATGGTCAGTCACGTGACCTCAGGGACTGCAGCTGTCATAAATATGAACCCGTATGCCAAACATCTGCATTTTGATGGCGTCACCATGGGGAATGCTGCAAGTGTGAAAAACGGTCGTAAGTCCTTTTCCCCCTACCGTTGTAACTTTGGTCACTAAACGAACCGTTGCAAATCGAGGACTACCTGCATATGAACAGACCCTAGCTAAATTTCCCCAAATACAAGGAACCCAGAGGAACCAACTGTGCAAGCGGGGCGAGAGGGCACCAACTGCACCCTCCTTCACTAAGCCGCTCCCGCCTCCAGGCGCTTGTGCCAAAGCACGTGCAGCAGCTGGCTTGGGCCTGGCTCCCGCGGCAGATGACTGTGCCAAGTGCCAATGCTGGCAGGAAGCCAAAGCCCCAGGACTAAGCTCCACCTTGAAACTGGCCCTCCTTACGGGCAAATGAGAGCCGCTGCCGGCCAGCGAAAACGTGGCCGCCTCCCCCAGCCGCCCCTGCAATCAGAACCGAATCGAGCCCATCTGGGGGGGGGGGGGGGGGGAAGAGGCGGAAGGATCTAAGGATTGCAAAGGGCTCAAGAGGCGCACCGCTTCCCTCCCCGCCAAGAAAGAACGACGGAAGCAGGCTTGTCCGCTTCCTTACATGTGGCTGCAGGTCTTCCTCTCCCGGATGTCCACCGCTGAGCCCCGCCGTCTTCTCCGCTCAAAACCTCGCGGCTCCCTTTCCCGTCACCGCTCTCTGCCAGGTCCCCCCAAAAAAGACTCCCGGCTGCTCGCTAAGGGATTAATAGCGGCTGAGGGCGATCACCAGGTCCTAGTGCTCTCAGGAGACCGGCGCTCGGCGCTCCCCGAACCATCTTCAGAGGCAGGAATCGGCACCAGGACACGGACTTGAGGGCGGGAGTTGTCCCTGAGCACGTGCAGATTGCCTTTCCCTCCAGCCCCGTCTTCTTAGCTTCCTGTGCTTTTGAAACCAGGAGCGAACAATTTACAGACCCTGCAGTATTTTGGACTACAGCGCCCACAATAATTGCTTGCTGCTTATAGCTGCCCTTTATAATATATATGTATTTAATATACTTCTATTTGGGAAGTAACACGCAATATTAAATATACATATATATGTATATTCTGGCATAAATTAGTGTATTAGAGTGGCAAAAGAGAATGATTTTTACAGTTTGTCATTTAGGCACCAGAATTGAATATGCTGACACCATCTGTAATATAACAGAAACAAACAAGCAGCTTAAAAATTAACGTTGTGCCATGAACTTTCTAATAAATTAGCCAATAAATTAAAGAGGATTTTTCCCTCCATAAGTTTCTTGTGTTCTCTATTCGAGTCCAATCAGTATTTAGGAAATTGGCCCCAAGGGGAATGAAAATGTGCTCCGGATCCAGCAACAGGTGGATTACATTCTTTATGCCAAAATGCTACCAGTAGATGAAATGCTAAGCTGTCCCTAAACAAAACTCAGTTTTTCCCTGCACCACTTTATTAAAGCAAAAGTTGTTTAAAGGGGCAGATTAATATTTTTTTGAGTATTGATGTTGGAAAAGAGTCATGAGAATATTATAGATAGCTAAGAAAACAAACAAATAGATCATTGGACAAGTCAACCTAGAGTTCTCCTATGATATACAAATGAAGAGCCTCACATATTTTGTACACATTTAAGACACATTTAGTTTTGTTGAGTTTATAATGCTGGGAAAGAGAGAAAGAAAAAAGAACGGCTAGCAGCAAGGTAGATCTGTTCAAATTCAATGGTGCACTATTGGAAAACCTGAAGGGTCAGGTCAGGGAATGATCATTCTGGAAAAGATCTGTCAACACTGTTCAGAGGCAGCTTCTGGCTCAGACTAAGATAATAAATTAGAGAAAAGCTAGCAGCAAACTGATCAAAGAGGGCAATTTTCCCTCTTGCTATATTCTAGGTTTTTAGTTTCTGTCTGGGTAAAAATAGCTTGCTTAGGATTGTTGACCTCTCAGTTTTTAGGAACAGAAAATGACACTTTACAGGCTTTCTGATTAAAAGGGATTTGATTCTGGAGGTTAGAGCTTGGTTCTTGTTCCTTTTTTGCCCACTGAAAGATTTTCTGCCTACTAATCAGTTTCACACAATAGTTGATGACATCCATGTCTTTTGGCTGCCTCACTCTTTTCCTGCTGAATAGTTTAGGATTATTGATAGATGGTTGTGAATGTACATACCAATGTCACAGCAAAGTTATTGTACTATCTGATTGTGTCTGTAGTGAGCAAACATTTTTTGGACATGAGTTTTTAACACTAAAGGTAAAGGTTCCCGTTGCACATATGTGCTAGTTGTTCCAGACTCTAGGGGGTGGTGCTCATCTCCATTTCAAAGCCGAAGAACCAGCACTGTCTGAAGATGTCTCCGTGGTCATGTGGACGGCACGACTAAATGCCAAAGGCGCACGGAACACTGTTACCTTCCCACCAAAGGTGGTTCCTATTTTTCTACTTGCATTTTTTACGTGCTTTCGAACTGCTAGGTTGGCAGAAGCTGGGACAAGTAACGGGAGCTCACCCCGTTACACGGCACTAGGGATTCGAACTGCTGAACTGCCGACCTTTCGATCGACAAGCTCAGCGTCTTAGCTACTGAGCCACCGCGTCCCTTTTTTAACACTAGTGGCAGGCAAAAAGGGAACTTGAGCCAAGAGCTTTGAATGATACTATTGAATGTACAAAGTACCAGGCCTCGCCAGATGCCTTATGTTTTGGAAAACAATTTTTTCTTAATTCCTGCTATGTGGAAACAGGTCTTAGGGAAGGAAAGGCAGTTTCCATAATTTCTTGATTATATTAGATATTCCAGTCCACACAGATGATACTGAAAGATGCCAGGGTTGAATTCTAGCACAAACTCACTTTGGCAAAGAAGGCAGATTACCTAGGATAATATGCTATCCCTAATCAAACAACTTGAAAGGCTTGGAGTTTGGGTTTGATTCAGGGGTGAAATGCTCCTGGTTCGGACCGGATCACCCGATCTGGTAGCGATGGTGGCGGGTGGTTCGGAGAACTGGTAGCAAAAATCCCTGCCCACCCCATGCCCAGCTGAGCCACATGATCATCAGAGGCTTTTTTTAATTTTTAAAAGCATTTTTTCTACAACCTCTTCAATGGAAAAAATGCTTTTAAAAGTTAGAAAAAAAGCCTCTGATGATCGTGCAGCTCAGCTGGGATCGTCAGAGGCTTTTAAAAGCATTTTTTCTACAACCTCTTCAGCCAAAGAGGTAGAAAAAATGGTTTTAAAAGTAAAAAAAAAAAAGTTGGCCACGCCCACTCAGTCACATTCCCCCACCACCACCAAGCCATGCCCATAGAACCGGTAGTAACAAATTTTACATTTCACCACTCGTTTGATTGCTCCATTTGGCAGCAGCTCTGCAGGCTCTCTGTGGGAAAAGTAGCCCTATGCATCTTCTGTATCCTTGGTTGCTGAATCTGGAAGTACCAAAAATTGGATCAAAAGCCTTCTCCTGCACATATTGAGAGAAAATTTGTTCACTCTTGTAAGTTCATGAACTTTATATCTCACCACTATAATTCTTGTATACGGAAACCTAAAACGTGATCTGTGCTAGCAAAATAAACAACATACAAAACATCTGTTGTGCTATATCTTTATGAACCAACATCCACTGTTTTTCTTGGAAAAGGGATGTGAAGCTTTACATTTGTAACAAGTGGCAAATCCTTTAGCAACAGTGACTTCAACCAAATGTTTTCTGTACCTTTTAATCAATCCTGAACATTAGCTTGGAGGTATTTGGCCCAATCATCTTTACTGAACTGCTTTAGTGCATTGATATTTTTGGATGAACTTCAGACCTTACCACAATATTTCATTTGAATTAAAAGGAGGGCTTGGATTCAGCCATTTCAAAACAGAAGATTCTTCTGCTTCAGCCAGTTTCTTGTAAATATACAGTACTTGTGTGTCTAGAATCATTATCATGCTACCTGACCCAGACTCATTTAAGTTTCAGATAACTGACAAAACTTTGACATTTTTCCAAACTATTGCAGAATTTACACTCCCTAAATGATTGCACTGCTCCCACTGCCATGTTACAAAGTTGGAATGAGGTTGTTTTGCTGGATTATAGTTTTGTTTTCTCCAAACAGAACATTCCTTACTAAAGCCAGAAACTTCCACTTTAGCCTCATCAATCCAGAGAACATTTTGCTGGATCATCCAAGTGGTCCTTGTCAAACCTGAGAAACAGCAAAGTGCTTTGTGAAAGGCTGTGGTTTCTTCCTTGCATGCCACTCCTGTTCAGTATATTTTTTATGATGGATTCATAAAAACTAACATCAAAAATACAAGAATAGTTTGCAGATACCCTGCTGTTTCTCTGAGCTTCTTTGCTCCCTCCTGAAATGTTATGAAGAGCAGAATCAAATGATGGCAACTAACATTTTTTTAAAATAGGGGTAAATGTAAAGGTTCCCCTTGCACATATGTGCTAGTCGTTCCCGACTCTAGTGGGTGGTGCTCATATCTGTTTCAAACCCGAAGAGCCAGCGCTGTCCAAAGACGTCTCTGTGGTCATGTGGCCGGCATGACTAAATGCCAAAGGCACACGGAACGCTGTTACCTTCCCACCAAAGGTAAATAAATAGGGGAGGGTTCCACAAATCTACATGTGATTGTCATCTCATTGATTGTAAATAACAGTGATTTGACTTAAGAAAGCCAATTATTCTAAGAGCTTCATATACTTTTTTACAACAAATGAATGAATTTTACAGCAAATGAACAATGAAAAGGATGTTCAATAACACGATACAATATATTGTTGGTTGCTGTTTATTCAGAATCTTTTTTATTAACTGGACTTGGATAAAACACTGATCTTCTAGTTCTAATGGCTAATAAAGTTTTGTGTCTATGTGTGATTCAGTGTTGATACCTGCCAATTGTCTGGACTAATCCCTGCAGTTTTCTTGGCAAGATTTCAGAAGTGGTTTGTCATTGTCTTCTTAGGGCTTAGAGGGAATGATTGGCCCAAGAACATTTAGCTGGTTTCATGTCCAAGACAGGATTAGAATTCGTAGTCTCTTCTGTTCTAGCTTGGTGCCTTAACTACTACCGTATACCAAAGTGAGTCTAATATAGAATTGTGGACAATTTAAAGAGTTCACAGATTTTCTTTCATGACTATATATACATGCTTTGTGGGGGAAGAAAACCTCCTTGCAGTGCCTCTATTTCCAAAATCAACCACTATGGTGGCAAACTTTGGTGTTTGTGTTGGAGCCTAATTTTTTTTTCTAAGTGGGCCTTATTTAAAGTACTATGTAGCGTATAATATTTTTTAGGCAGCACAAGGTAAAAAAGTACAACTAAAGAAAAATAACAAAACCACAATTTAGCATCTGAATCAAATTTTTGGTTCATTGAATCAGAATTGTCATTTTTGAAGTTGCTTCAACATTTCATTTGGGAGTTTTTCAGTGTCAGTCTGGAACTGAATATCAGGAACTGAACGAAGAATATTTTCCAGCCTAAGCAGGCGCTTTGATTATTAAGCTATAACAACCCAGAGTTCTCACATGAACTTTGTACTCAAGGCAAAAAGAAAGGCAAAAAAGGAGCAATAATCTTCCACAAAAATGATGAATCCTGCAGTTTTTGTGCCTGGCTGCAGTTTGTTGGAACCAGAAGTTTTGTTTCTTCCTTCCAAACAGTCAGTTTTATTATAGATGTTAGGACTGAATCAAAGGTTTTATACATGAAGCTTGCAGGTAGTCCTCAATATACAACCATAACTGGCACTGGAATGCCTGTTGCTAAGTGAGATGGTTAAACAA